AGGAGGGCCGGGAGCGGGCAGTTGCCGCTACCCCGGGGCTGGGAGGAGGCCAGGGACTACGACGGCAAGGTCTTCTACATCGACCACAACACCCGGAGGACCAGCTGGATCGACCCCCGGGACAGGTGGGCGGCGGCGCTTGTTGTCCGGGAGACCCGGCGGCGCGGGGGGCGCGGGGGGCGTGGGGCGTCGCGGGCCCCGGGTGCGGGGAGGGGTCCGGGAAGAAGGCGCGGGAAGGTCTGCCCGGGCCGGACTGAGTCCGCCGCCAGGCTGCTGGGAGGAGGGCCTTGGGGACCGCCTGTGCCGGGGCCCCTGCGCCCGCCCACCTCCCGACGCCCCCCGCGACCTGTGGACCCTGCGGGCCCCGGGGGACGGGCCGGACGGGCGCCGGGGCCGGCCCTCCGTCCAGTGAGCGCACCCGGACGGGCCACCTGAGCCCGGTTCCGAGCTCACCGGCGTCTGAAGTTGGCCCGAGGGGGGCTGGAGGGCACGTTGGGCCTGGCGGGAGGGGGCCGGCTCGGTGAAGGTGGGGAGCCCGCCGTCCAGGCCGCCCGGGGCCCCTCTCCGGCGGTCCTTAGCTCCCCACCGGGGTCGGGAGCTGCAGACGGGGCGCCCCGGTCAGGCCCCCGGGGGTGGGTGTCATTGGTTTTGCCCCTCAGATTTCAGAAACATGTGTTCGGGGTTTTGCTGCCTTGTTCGTCTTCACCTGAAAACTCGAACCGACTCCAGACCTTGGGAAGGCAGAGCCTTTTTTGCAGTAAGAAGGGGTGACATGCACCCCGGGCTGACCCGGGCTCCTGGAGAGTTCTCGCTTGATTTCTTGCAGTGACCAGCGCACACTTTCATTCCCCTGGGCCTGGGGGTGCAGAGCAGAAGCAGGACAAAATCAGAAGCTCGGGAGCCTCAGTGTAGCTGAGTGTCCACAGATGTTCTTCCTCTATCCCATCTTCTTTTTTTTTAAATCCTTAAAAGGAAACTTTTTTGTTTGTTAATCCTCACCTGAGGATGTTTTTGCCATGTTTTTCAGAGAGAGTGGAAGGAAGGGTGGGGGGGGGGATCACTGAGAGTCACATCCACTGGTTGCCTCCCGCACGCCCCCGCAAACCCCTCAGCCGCGCGCCCCTTGACCGGGAATCAGGAATCGAACCTGTGACCCTTTGGCGCGCAGGCCGACGCTCTAACCACTGATCCATATGGGCCAGAGCAGGGAACTTTTATAGTTAGAGTTATTATAAGAATAATATGAGATACTCCTAATTGTAAACTTGTAATTTGCCCATTAAGGAGCTATTTCTAATTGTGATTTTAAATAAAATACATATATTATTAGGGATACCTCCAACATTTCTGAAACTTTTTCCCCAGCTATTTATGGAATGTGGCCTTAGGGGTTTATAACCTTTCCTAGGTGCTTCTACAAAACATTATCCTTTTTTCAAATTGAAGCTGAAATACAGTTTCATACTTTATATTCCCAGTTACTTTAAGTCCTAAGAATATTGTTTTTGGAAGCTGTTGAAGAGCAATTATAGAAAGTCATAAATTACATTATAAATTTATGGAACAATCCTTATTAAATTATCCATGAAGGCATCGGTGTAGGTTTCCCTCCTGAGATGAGGGAAGGCAGCTGTGTGGAGTTCTCCTTGCCACAGCCCGGCTGCCTGTTACCTGCCACCTGAAAGTGATGACAGGCATCACACCTTCACAGTCTCCCCGGATACGGATACGGTTGTGGTCATAAACTCCCTGCTCCAGGACAGGTGTTGCGCTTTGAAACTACTTCACAGATAGTCAATGCCCGTGATGATGGTGTGCACCCAACAGGGTCTTTTAAGGCACCTGTGTAATTATCTGACCTTTACAGTTCTGTGGGAATTCTTTCTGCTTGCTGGTACTTGGAGTTTCAGGTTATTGAAATTGCAATGGATTCTTGAAATATTCAGGCATTTCAAGTTCTCTTCTTCATTTTCATGTCTTATTATATGTGTTTACCAACAAGGGTTATAAGAATATGTAAGGCCTGGGCAAAGCAAATAGAAAGGGAAGGGAAATTCATGACATGGCTTGGTTTATCCATATTACTGCTTCTTAAACAAGTTAAGCGTGTCTGTTATTTTAAACTGTTAATGGATTACCAATTATTAGGAACTGTGTTTTCAAGAAACTGGGTAACCAGTTCATTTGCTGGAGGCAAACAGTTTTGACTGAGATGACTTATCATTCCAGCTTTCTCGAAATTGTTGGATTTTTAAGTATCTATCAACTTGACAGATTATTTCTGGATCTCAGTATCCAAGTGTTAAAAGACAATTCCTTGAGAACAGAGTCAACGTTGACATATTTGTGTTTTCTTTTAGGACAGTGAAGTGTCTGCCAGTCTTGCTAAATAGTGTAAGAGATGCTGGGAGAGGCTTTTCGGAGAACTCTTAACTAGGCAGTTTTGGTTCACACTCACACTCTCACCGAACATACGGAAAGAGATGTGACACAGGCCTTGGAGTGCGCCCGCTCTTCCACAGGGTCCGATGACAAGGCCCGAAAGAAAAGGGACTGGATGCACTGTGGGTCTGCAGTGCTTTTGAACTTTTAAAGCCATTTAATTAAAACGACCAGGATGATTTATCCAGCCATATTTACGTTAAGAAAAAGAACTTTGTGTTTCTGATAGTCTGTCAGAATTTGAGAGGTATTTCTGATTGTATAAATAATTATGCGTATTTAATGGGGGAACGGTGGGGGATTTCATAACATTTCATTGAACAAGTTGTGGTTTTCAGAATACTGAAGTATTATTTTAAAATACTTTCAAGCCCAGCCAGTGTGCTTTAGTGGTTGAGCCTACGCAGATCCATGAGCCAAGAGGTCCCCGGTTCGATTCCCGGTCAGCTGTCCTCTCTCTCATCGCTGTTTCTATCTCTCTACGACTCTCCCTTCCTCTCTCTCTCTCAAATCAATTTTAAAAACCATATTAAAAAAATAAAATACAATACGTTCAAGCTGAAATAATGCCGCAGACTTTGCGGGCGCGATCAGAGCTTTCCTTGCTCCACCTGATCGAGTCAGCTTAAATGGGGTTCTGAATCCCTCTACACCTCCATTTTTCAACTCCAAGATGAAGATAACACCACCTACCTCATAGGGATGCTTGGGGCCCATAACTAGGGCCCAGCCAAATAGTAGTAGTTGTAGTGCTGTTCCAGTTTGGGAACTGAGTGGTGCTTCAGGTTCCCCCTGAGAAGAGTAGAAATACTAGCATGTTTCTCAGCGTTCATTGTGGGTCAGCCACTGAGCTAAGCTCTTTAACTGGGATCTCATTTTATTCTCCTTTAGCCCTGTGTGGTGTGAGGGAGGCGCTCTTACTGTCTTCCAGTCATAGACTAGGAGATGGAACCACGGGAGATGGCTATTGCTAGTGACCGTGGAGCCAGGATTGGAAGCCAGGGAGTCCGACTCCCCATCTGGTGCCCTTTTCCTTCCTCCGGGCTGCCCGGCCACCTGCTCAGCAGCCCTCGGGTAGGGCACAGCCTGTCTGCCCAGCTGATTTTTCAGGCTGATTGGCCAGTCCTTACTCATCTTTAAAGGTTCCTGTCCGCTTTTTACAACCCTGTGACCCCTGAGCTAGCCACGCGAAGGGTCTGGTTCACGAATGCCTTGGAAGTGTGGCTTGTTGGGGACCCAACAAGTTGACCACCTCAGAAGTTCTATTTAGGGGAAGAGTTAAGCGCTGTCTCACCCCTGAATAAATGACAGTTTTACTGTAAACCGTCTTGACTTTGCCCTCCTCCTCCCTTCTCACTAATCCTGGGGAAATCTCCCCGTCCTTAATTTCTTGCCCCGGCGTGACTCCCCCCTCCCAAGGGCTACTCCCCCAGGAGCGCTGTTCTGCCGGTCTGCTCCCTCAGTCACCCCTATTTGGCTCAGCAGGACGCCCTTTGACTGCACCAGTTGGTGTTTATGGTGGCCTATAGATCATGGCCAAATGGCCTGGTGTTTTAAAAAAATAAAAAAGACCATATTCAACACGGGAGAAAACGGCTGGATGGATTCATTGCTTCTTGGAGGAGTAAGGGGCCAAGGTCGGCAGGCCTCAGAGACGGGGTGAATGGTTTGACAAACTCCCAGGAGCATTCTGCCCCCTTTTCTATTCTTGGATTGACCATCACCCAAGTGAACCATAACTTTGTGTCCTTGAACTTAAAAGCTTTGCCACCACACACAGCGACTTTACCTTAAGACTTGCCAATAGATCGTCATCTGTGGTCTAAGGCTAGTGTCAGAGGTTGAGCAGCCTGTACTTTCTAATGGGAGGGAAGAAATCCTGGGTTCGGGTCACCTGGTGACCGTGAGGAGGAAGAGGGTGTCAGCTGGGTGTCATCAGTGACTGAGTTCGCTTCTGGCACAGCGTGAGGGAGCTCTGGATCCTCTTTCCTTCAAAGTCACAGCGAGGAGTCGGCTCACCCTCCTGCTAGAGTGTAGACTCAGGAGCCCTGCCTGGCTTCCTGCTGTTGCTTTCTGTGTCCCGTGTATGGCAGGTGTTAACTGCGTGTCAGTTAGCTCAGTTAATGAAGAAATATTAAGTAAGTGAAGGAACATTAAGGGAGCTACTCTTGTTTCCAGTTCTTATTGTTGGACTTTCAAAAGAGTTACCCATCACCATCCAACAACTGGAAACCATTGATTTCCCAGTTAGATGACTAATCATGAGAGAAATAGCTGCCACCGTTTGCCTACTGGTACTAATGCGGATGTGAATTGCTTACAGGAGCAAAGAAAACACAATCGGCGCTCGCAGTCTACATCGCAAGTGCCATTGCCGTAGACGGCTGCACAGACACCGGCCGCCGGCTCCCCGCTTGGGCGCCCAGCGGTTACTGATGAGTTATTTGAGTGATTACGGTATTTGAAGTGTGGAGAGGTTGTTAAAAGAAGGTTTCTTTTAAAAATAAAAAATCACTCTGGGAAGCACCAAGTTAAACAAAACTGCACTGTCTTCCAAAAATTCCCAAGGAAATATTTCTTGCTTTCAGCAGTTTGCTCTGATGCTTGTTGGGGTGAGCAGTCGCTGCTCCGTGTACGGCTAAGATTTCCGCAGTGACTTGAACAGTCGTAGTTTGCAGTTGAA